CGTGCTGTCAAACCTACACTAGCAAGGAGATCGGGCTGAAACTATAGCTACAAGCTATCCAAGGATGGTACTATAGAATGTCACCTCAAGGTAGGCCTAGTGGCGTCATCTCTTGGTTAGGCCGGAAACTTATCAATCCACCCTCGTAATATACTTACATAATAAAATATTTACGTATATATGAAAATACCGAATTGAACAACAAGTTTCTTTATTATGTGTAGCAATAAGCTGGTTCTTTATGTGCTCAAAGTTCCCGACAGTTTTGACATGTGATAACTCTGTAAATCATTTTTATACCCACGAATTACCGGAGTGCAAGTGTAATTTGAACAAGTTTCAGTTAGCGACTAATACCACTATGCAACACTTTCTCTTCATTAGTAACACAAAATGCGATCTTTTTCAGGATCTTGAATTTAACTTATTTTTTCCTTGCTATCAAAAATGAAACATACATTCGGCGATATTGGATTAGAAGGCCATAGGAAAAGGAGGCGAAATAGAGTAGCTGCCACTTCCGTAGCTCATGCGTACAAAAAAATCTAATTTAGTTTTCTTAAAAAATAAACATTCCAGAATATAATATAAACGTCAATCACCTCCAATAACTGTTTTTAAACAACAAAGGCATCAACTAAAGGCCTTACCTTTCCAGGCTTCGGAGATATTTTGGAAATGATTTTTGTTTATTACGTACTTGGATATATCGATGTCTTCTCTTTGCTTTACGATTTTGCCGATTTTGTTGCACACTAACTCAGTGAAGACGAAAACAAAAAGGCGATTGATGAATTTAAGAAAAAGTGCTAAAGCAGAATTGCTTTATTTTTATGATACCCATATAAAATACTACTCCTCTATGTCATCATCATCATCATCATAAGGTCATCAGTCCTAAGACTGGTTGGACACGCACCTCCACTCTTTCCTATCCTGAGCTCAACTTCGCATTTCCCTAAAACTAGAACAACCCACATCCTTAACTATTTGCAAACAGTAATCTAATCTAGGTCTACCTCTACCCCTTCTAACTCCTGTTTCTGCCTCTAATATGTCTCTGACTAGACCTTCATGCCTGAGAAGGTGTCCTACCAACCTATCTCGCCTATTTTTNTGCAAGTCAAGTGCCCCCTCAAGCTGAAAGTCTTCTCATGCTACTTAAGGTTAGTTCTAGTATTTCTAGTTTCCGTCGATTTGCATATTAAAACCGTATTGTTTTTTTTTTCACAGCAATACCCTTGTATGTGGCAAGGACTTCTGGCTCTTAAAAACGATCAGGCAGCAGTACAAATGTATTTTGTTTCGGGCAACGAACAGGTGGCTAAGTGTAGTTTACCAAAAAACATAGATGGCTCCACACCGCCTTTAAGAATATTCCAGAGAATGAGACTTGAACCTCCTCAAGTAGAAGGTGTTGCAAGAAAGATGCAGGTAGTGTATTCAAGTTTCTTTTTATAACGAAATTAACAATGTTTTTACAAAAGAAATAACAATTGCAATACTTAATGAAAGAGAAGTTAAAACCAGAATATCCTATTTCAGGAAAAAAACCTAAAACCGACTTCAAGACTAGAAAATAATATATTAATTACTTCAAAGCAAAGTGCATTACAAAACAATCGACAAAATCATTGATACTTACATACATTTACAATTTATAATCAGTTATTTTTGGAGTCGGTGCCAATCAAAAGGGACAGTCTAATCCTGTCTTTACAACAATTTATTTTTATTTTGTGGTGTGAGTTTTACTAACGAATCTTAGTATCCACTTCATCTTTACTTAGGGTAGTTTCCATTATTTCAGGATAAAGAAGAAACGGCCAAAGAATCTGAACAGAAAGAAGCGAAAGAATTGTCAGGCGGTGAAAATGGTATTGCGACAGAGGCCGAAGAAGCAACAGCACCGGAAGCAGGTGACGCCACTAATCATACGGTAGAACAAACCAACGAAGTGACCACCCCCGAAGAAAAGTCTAACGAGTCAACAGATAAAGTGGAAGAAAACGGTGATAACAGTAGAAAGAACAAAGAAAAGACGAAAAAGAAAAAGTGGTCGTTTAGGAGCATTTCGTTTTCGAGGAAAGACAAGCCGAAACCAAACAAAGAAAGTGAAAAGAACGGAGAAGTAAAAGAGGTTGCTGAAGAGGTAAGTCTCATTTTTTTTTGTGACAATTAGAGTTTGTTTGACAAATTTCGTCTTATAAGGGCATCTTCAGGAGTAACAAAAACTATACTAATTAACAAACAATAACTAAATTAATTTATAGTTCATCCTAAGAGGGTGGGAGTTGAACAATGTTTGGGTTCCATAGGGGATTATTGCCAAAATCTAGTTGATCGTTGGTGATATTTTTATTTTTCTGTTTAACTTTTTTTATTTCTAAAATTTCATAACCAGTCTTGGAACCCCTTTTAAATGATGTAATATTTTAAGATTGCTTTTATTTATTCAATTTGATGAGTGGCTAAACCTGAGGCGTATTTATTGAACTTTACATAATTTACGTGTTCGTTATTTCTGGTTAAAATATCTCTTGTTTTAAATTACTACTACAGATTCCTATTATCTTTTTGGAATTTGAGTACCTACAACTTAATTCTAACTCAATTCACGAAATTCGTAGCAGCTATTTTGTGATACAATTACGAATTGAAACGTGAATTTATTGGTAACGTGTATGTAATTTTACATCCAATCGGTGCCGTAGTCCAATAACAGAACTCATTTAACGTCTGTTGTATATTGTGCCTGCCTAGAATCCAAATGTAAATCAAAATTACTATGACAATCAGAATCCGTCCTTACGTATGACTAAAAACTACGTATGACAAAGCAGATAAAAAGGGAATATACGTATCATTAAAATAAAAGGTGATCTAAATAAATATACATATCTACACATACGTGAAGAATTAACTTTACCGATAAAATACAGTAGAATGATAGGGATGAGTTCAGATAAGAATAATTTCAGAATATACACATTCCCGAATTCTACATTTAAATTTCATTTTATGGCGTTCAAAAAGTTATTTTCTTTTCATCCCAAAACATTTTTTATAGTTTATTTTTCATTATCCTCCTTAAACTTATCTATAGTGCTTTGTTATTTTCACATAATGTTGTGAAGAATCTGAAACTACAGCATGAGTTATTTTTGCGTAATATGTATGCAAAAATTAGCAGAAAGGTTGTCACATTTTGAAAACACTTTAACATTTTCGAATTCGGAACAGAATTCAATTTTTTTGCGAGATCATACATATTAGTTGAGGCATTTAGAAGAATTTTTATAGAGTTAATTTCAATATATTAAAGTGAATTAATGTTTTCCCGATTAATTTGAGGTTATCTGTAATGGTAAAAATTAACTCACATTAACATATTGATAAAATTTTTTTATTCTCCCTTTCAACTTCACCCTCAACTTTGTACGAGTCGAAAATGATCCAGAACATGTTACTATTTTTCCTGATAAAGCCATGAAAGTTATTGCCTCAAAGCCCATTTGTTCTGTCGTTTTTTTTATTGGCTACATACATAGCAAAATTCTAAAAAGTTTTTATTAAGAAATTAATTTTTTAATGAAATCGAAAACAGAAATCAAAATGTTCAACAGAATTTTACGATTCACAGTAACCTCTTCAGTATATGTACGATCCTTTTGAAAAGAAATGAACCAAAACTAATGTCGACTTCGTTGAGGTGCCAACTGAAGTGTATTAACGTTGGTATGATCTGAAAGAAATTTTATCAAATTCAGCTCAGTCGTTTGTTTGTTTAAACAAAAAGGCTGCGAAAAGATGTTTCTAACCATTTTACGAAAAATATTTATCAAATATAGTTTGTTGTGGTGACAATTAGTAATTTTAATTATGTGCTAAAATTGTTTTGTTCATTTTAAAAGACATTTGATCATATGGACTTCAAAGGATTCAATTATCCAGTTGCCTTATTTCTTTTCCACACGACACGTAGTTTCTTTAAGAAGACCTTCTTAAGGATGTTTGAATGCTACGAGACAAATAAAAATTTGGAAGAGTGTTCCTGATTCAATTCTAAAACTCCTGTAAAAATTACAAATCGATTCACTAAACCGTTAAAAGGTTATTGAAATTTTAAAAAATTGTAATTTTACACGCCATTTTATGGAGATTCGTTAACCGAACAGATTAAATTTATTTTTATTAACAGAAAAAAAGCTACCAGAAATTTCAAACTTTTATAATAAGTAACTTGAACTCTGGAGAATTACTTTAGCGTAAGGTTATTCAAATTCACTAA